CTGTAAAATGGAAAATATTAACTGTACCTACCCCATGGTGGCAGAAGGTGAGTTAATGCATGTACCTTGCTTAGAAGGGTGCCTGGCACACAGTAAGTGCTGAGTACTCGTCAGCTTTCATTCAGTGGCATTTGCTACCCTGGCTCCCCAGCTCCCCTTTACTCTGGTCCCCGCTTCCTTATACCTCCATGGCACCCCTGCTAACTGAGCTGACCAAGGAGCACCTCCATTTCTTGTTTCTTTGGAAGAAGCTGATTACATATGTAAATCTAAAACACTATAGATAGAGCAACTCTAGAAAAATACATTGTTTGCGTTAAGACCTTGAGATATGTGACAGGTCACAGGGAATAAGCATATGGTTTCTTCATTTCTATTTACTTAGTGCCCCACCTTGTTTCAGAAAGGCTCAAACAGAGCTATTCAACACAGTAACATTAAATTCAAAATAAGGCTGGGCACTGTGGCTCATGCCTGTAATCCCAGCACTTTGGAAGGCCAAGGCAGGCAGATCACTTGAGTCCTGGAGTTCCAGACCAGTCTGGGCAACATAGTGAAACCCCATCTCTACAAAAAAAATTCAAAAATTATCCAGGAGTGCACCTGTGGTCCCAGCTACTTGGGAGACAAAGGTGGGAGGACTGCTTGAGCCCGGAGGCAGAGGTTACAGTGAGCTGAGATCGTGCCACTGCACTCCAGCCTAGGCGACAGAGGGAGACCTTGTTTAAAGAAAAAAAAAAAAAATCTAAATAAGTGGATAAAAGGAAAAGGACAAAAAGAAATAAGATTTAAAAGATATCTGAAAAGACCCAATAAGGCCAGGAATGATATTAGTTAAAAAAAATTATACTGCAATATCCTGTTCCCTTGTTGGAAGCAAGCTACAAACTGCAATCTGGCTCTAAGCTCTTGCACCTGATACAAAGATAAAGCCTGGCCAGCTAAATTATTCATTGTGTCCTTAAGATTAAAAAAGAAAAGGGGAGGGAGTGGAGAAGAGGAAAAAGGCATTTACTCAGAAGTGTCCCTGGTAGGAGAGGAACTTCTCTCCTGGGCCTCCTTAAAGAAGGCATGATATATATTTAGTTGTTTTTCTAGATTATATAGTTCTAGAAGTTTTTCATTTTTACCTACATTATCTCTTTCTGATTCACTCCTAATAGCTAGGATCAATTAAATTCAGAGTGTTTAGGTTAGCAAAGTAAGGGAGGGTTTGTGCATGGAAGGGGCAGGTTGTAAAGGACTGGCTGCTTTTTCAGGAAAGGTGGGCACACAGATGGGCTTCATTACAGAGGTAAAAAGAAGGTTTTTTCTTAAAGACAAAAACAGGCTTTCTTTAAATAGAGAACATTGAAAAGGAAATGCTCCATTCCTAATATAAAACCCTGAAGTTCCCATGTCCTCTAGTCCTAAAAGGCCAGGAGAAGCAAAAAAAAGGAATTTGGAGAAGGAAAAGGGTAAGAATCCTCAAAGAACAACACAGCAAGGAGCTTTCCATAGGCAGTCAGCCAAGACAGCAAAGGTGAGCAGACACTGGAGACTCCAGGCTGAGGCTATAGTCGGAGAGGATACAAATCCTTTTGCGACCGGGTTCAGTGGCTCATGCCTGTAATCCCCACACTTTGGGAGGCTGAAGTGGGAGGATCACTTCAGCCCAGGAGTTCAAGACCATCCTGGGCAACATGGTGAGACCTCAGCTCTACAAAAAAAAAAATACAAAAATTAGCCAGGTGTGGTGGCGTTTACCTGTAGTTCCAGCTACTCTGGAGGCTGAGGTGGGAGGATGACTCGAACCCAAGAGGTCGAGGCTGCAGTGAGTCGCAATCGCACCACTGCACTCCAGCGTGGGCAATATAGTGAGACCCTGTCTCTAAAAGAAAAAAAGCCTTTGAGATGATAACTTGATGTTTTATGATCATTTTGTATTGGCTGTTTTTTGTCATGAATGAGCCTAAGATTTTGAACACAAACAATTTTACTTTCGGCAGTCTGCTTGGGCGTGCTTCAGCCAGGACCTCTCTCACACATACACCCATCCTGATCCACTCACCTTGTTAAGCCACTTGAGCCCTGGGATCGTGTTGGAGTTTATCTGCTCCTCCAGCCACGGGCGCATGCGCATCCTTTCCACCGGCATGGTGCCCTTGCGGGAGAGAAACACAGCGTCAGGCATTGGTGCCACTCATTGTGGTGTCCGCGCTGCAGAGTTCTACACCCCGCCTGACCCCTTCCTTCTCTCCTTTCCTGGGGTGGGGACTGGCGAACTGGGGGGTTGGTGTACTCAGGGGCTGTGTCCTAGAGCCACCTGTGCAAGCCCAGCCCTCGTGCTGGCCAGGAGGCTATCTGGGGACACAGGGCGGTCCAGGCCTGCCCTCCACTGGGAAGGTCCCATGGACATTGGAGACGAGGACCGGCACTCCTCCCCGGGACTTTGCCTCGAGGGGGGCTTTATCCCCACTACCCTGGCCGTATTTTGAGGCTTCAGTTGCTCGGAGGCCCCAATGCCTTTGGGGATTATCCTTCCAAGAGCCAGGGGTGGGCAGAGCAAAGCAGTTGTGGGAAAGCACTGACAGTCAAGCCATTCCTTTTGAGAATCTGGGTTATACAAACGCTTTCAACCCCCAATATTAACATTTAAAGCTCGAAAGGAATCAGTTAATTTGGCTTTCCCAAAGTTTTCCACCAATTACCCATCCCTCCCAACTTTATTTCCAGAGCCCCCGGCACCCTGCACAGGTATCTCCTTTGGTTTTGCTTTTACCCGAGTGCAATCTCTCACCCAAGTGTCTTTCTTCAATGCCAGCCTCCCCTCTGACCTGACATCACCCCCTTTTCCTTTAACTTACTTTCCCTTTGAAAATCATTCTCCTAGTCTGACCGCCATTCCTCCGCCAGCCCACACAATGCCCCCCGCTGCTTCCAGATGCCTTTCTAAGATAGACTTCCCCTTGTCCATCGGAATAGATCCAGAGGGGAATCACTAACAAAGTACCTTCCACACTGCCCCCCACCCATCTTCACCCTATCTATGCCTGCATTTACTTCTAATCTGGGGTCCAAAAGTAAAGACGGTTCCGGTGCAAGCCTCCATTCTATAGGACCTCACGGACAGTGTGACACTGTAATCCTCTTCTCAATCCTGATGCGTCCCTTCCTTCTTTGGTTCATTTCCTCCAAAACTGAGCTCTGAAAATTCTATTCATTGGCATTTGGGCTGATGTCTCAATAACTCTCCTTTCCAGCTTGCCATGAACTTCCTCTCTCCTCTATTCCCTGTGCCCTGAACATGCCAGAGTTACAAGCATCCTTCCATGACCCCCCCGGCCTCACCCCGGGCCTGCAGGAGTCCACAGCCTTTTCCTTGTACGCCTCCCGCAGTCGGTCCCACTGAATACTGCAGACACCTCCTGCTCCGTGCTCATCCCATGCCCTCTGCTCTTCATTCCCTGGCCTTGCAGGTCCTTATCCGCCCTCTAAGACCCAGCCTCCTCCTCCACAGGGGCTTCCGAGACCACTCCTGCCTAAAGCAGTCCCTCTGCCTCCAGCTCCTACGATACTCACTAATCCTACACTGCTCCTCTGAAAAATCAAACATTGCTTTAGGGCAGTTGTTTTAAGTGAAGTCTTTCATCTTATCCCTTGCTTTACCTATATACTTCTCAGCTGTGTACACTCCACTCTCTTTTCCTAACCAAATTTAAGTTCTACATAGCAAGAACATCACCTTCTTTTGTTCTGGAGGCTGGGTCTCACTCTGTCACCCAGATGGGAGTGCAGTGGCATGATCACGGCTCACTGCAGCCTCAACCTCCTGGGTTCAAGCGATTTTCCCACCTCAGCCTCCCGAGCAGCTGGGACCACAGGTGTGAGCCACCACGCCCAGCTAATTATTTTTAAATTTTTGTAGAGATGGGGTCTCAACTCCTGGGCTCAAGCAATTCTCCCACCTCGGCCTCCCAAAGTGCTGAGATTACAGACATGAGCTCCCATGCTCCGCCTTCTTCTAGGTCTTTTACTAGTCCTACAAAGCCCAAATGTTGCCACAGGAAACACTCACTACAAGGCTCAGGCCAGCTCTGAAGATCGCTATGACAGCCTAGGTGGGGTGCCATCAGAGGCTGGCCTCATCCACTCATATGGAGGCTCCAGCCACCAATCTTTGAGACACAAACAGGAACCTTAGAGACACTTCACGAGGACATGGAATGGCCGCAAGGAGTTGCAGATACTGCTGCTCTTGGTCTCATTCATTCATTTGTTCCATTCATTCATTTGTTCCATTCATTCATTTGTTCACCCACTCATTCAAAGATCATGTATTGAGAATGATGCTCCAGGAACGGGGAAAGATGACATTCCCTACCGTCTAGGAACTCCCGATCTAACAGGACACTGGAAAGAAGGGAGGTACCATGCTCCACGAAGACTCCTGGCTACAAGATGATAAAGAGTTTCAGAAAAGTCTGGGGAGTGCTGGGGAAAGCTGTGCACAGACGAGTGCACTGGCGACCCCTCAGAGGCTTACCCTGCAAGAGCTCTCCCCGCCAGGGTGGTGACCACCAGCCCAGCCTGATCCTCCCTCTGGAAAAGACCTCAAGACACAGATTGGAAACCACTAAATCCAGAGCAGTCAAGAGAGTAGAGGGAAGAGCGAGGGAAGAGTAGTTACAGGATAGGGGTAGGTACAGTGGTCACGAGTGGAGAGCAACAGATGCCAGTTCTCCTGGCAGCCTGATGTGCAGAAGCGCTGTGTGTGGTCCCTGGCACTGCAGCTGAGCCTGAGCCTAGCAATATGGAAACATGAGCGGAGTGTGGAAGTGGCCCTGCTTCCAGCTAGTACTCAGAATAATATCACATTTCCTCCATTATCTTTCTCACAAATAACCCAGTTGGGCAGGGGGCGGGGGGTGGGGGGGGGAAGTCCCATCTGAAATAGTTCAAAAAGCCATATGGTATGGTTCCTCTCAGGTGCCCCCACCAGCCCACGGTGGTTCCTGTTCTCATGTTAGTGATCGCTTTCAAAGTTCACACAGACGAGAATCTCTCTGAAAGACAATGAAGACCAGTTTGAAACGGAAACAGTAGTTGAAAAGTCAATTGTCAGGTAAAGCAAAGCACCAAGACAAAAAACCCAACTTTCTGTCTTTAAAACTAAAGCCTGTGTGTGAAGACACATTTGATCCATGCCGTTCGCAGATTCTGTATCTGTGAATTTGCCTACTCACTAAAACATCTCCGCAACCCCCAAATCAATACTTGGCGCGTTTGTGGTCACTTGCGGACGTGTGCTGAATTCAAGTCATCTGACGCACGTGTTCCCAGCTGAAGCTGGACAAGGCCACACTCTGCCTTCCTGCTCTTGCTCTCCTATGGCAAACAAGTGTCCTTTTCACAGGCTATGGAGTGCGACATTTTTGCATCTTTGTGCTTTTTGTTGGTGACTTTGTTGTTTCAAATGGCCCCCAGGCATTGTGCTGAAATGCCTTCCCAGGTTCCTAAGAACCAGAAGGCTATGATGTGCTTTACAGGGAAAATATGTATATTAGATAAGCTTTCTCAGGCATGCATTAATAGTGCTGTGAGTTCAGTGCTAATCAATCAACAGTAAATATTACAGAGGGTATCTTCAAACAGAAACACGTAAGACAAGGTTATATACAATGATCAGCTGACAAAATATTGTGACCAGTAGCTCGCAGGAACCGAATGTCCTCATAAGAAGAGGGAAGTGTGGACACGGACACACAGAAGAATGACGTGTGAAGACACAGACACAGGGAGGATGGGCACATGAAGCCAAAGGCAGAGACTGCAGTGAGGCTGCTGCAGCCCGCCATGCCTGGAAGCTGGAACGGGCAAGGAAGGATTCTCCTGAGAGCCGTGAGGCAGAGCAGGGCCCTACTGATGCCTCGATCTGAGACTTCCGGCCTCCAGAATTGTGATGGAATACATTTCTGTTGTGTGAAAACCATCTGTTATGGCAGCCCTGAGCAACTAACACAGAAGGGAGAGCTGCAAAGGCCCCGAGGCAAGGTGGCCCCTGTGAACGGCAGTCAGTGACAGGGAGGGCCCAGAGACCCAGCTCACCCAGAAGACCATGCCTAGGATTTTGGTCATGACCATGACCTAAGACTAAAGAGGAAACCGAAGGATTTTAGCAAAAGAATGATAGGGTCAGTTTGGCCAATAGTAAAGGGAAGAGCTGACTGTCAAATCCAGACCAGCGCTTCACCAACTTGAATGCACACAGGAATCCCAAGTCAGTGGATTCCAGGCAACCCCTGTGGTCTGCATCTCTGACAAGCCCCTAGGTCCTTGGGTCACACTCTGAAAGCAAAGCTCCAGAGTCCCCTTATTTTCCATGCTTAATGGCCTGGATCTCCCATGCTCCTGCCGTGTGGTCATTTTGGCTATTCTGACAGACTCCTCCGCTGGTCGGCTTGCCGGGCTTGTCATCCACCGGCTGGGTCCGCTCCTCACTTGCGCAGTGCCTGTCTAGTAAGGATGCAGCTCCGCCAAACCTCGAGCTTATTGGAAAAGTTCATAATCTTAAATCAGGACTGTTATTAATTATAAGCAACTTTTAGAAAAGGCAAAAAAATCAAACAAGTATTTTATCAGAGTAAAAAAAAAAAACTTAAAAAGGTCTATACTTATTTCAGGTTTTGTTTGTGTTTGTTTGTTGGTAGGACATCTCCAATGAGACGCAATGAAAAGCTCACCCAGTCACATGGAGGCCCTTCTCCTTTGTGACTTGATTTTTTTCTCCCCTGACTCATCTCCCACCCTAGGAAGGCAGTGCATTACCAGTGCGCTTGGCATGCGAGAGGTTATAAAGGTTGCCATTTGACATAGGTTTCTCTAGACTAGCAGAGGGTGAGCATACATCTTTACTTCTGTGAAAAACAGCAAAGGCAGAATCTACCTCAAGCCTAGCACCAGAAACGGATCATTTAGTTGGACACTAAAAATAGATTAATTATGCTTCCAGAGATTAAAAGACTGAGATGACAGGCACAGAGGGTCAGGGGACTGAGGACTGGAAAGCAAGATGCTTACTCGGTAGGTATCATCCAGCTTCCATTACTGAAAGTCAGGGTGACGTGCTGGTCTTTCTGTAAGGCAAGCCTCCCACAGGCACTAACAGCCAGGCCATGTGAACCTCGAACCGAGTTAGAGCAGGCAGGTAACTCAGTGGAGATGACACAGAGCGGCTATGTTTGTCTAAGAACAAAATGCACAGAAGTCAGGACAGTTGTGCCACGGCCCTGACTCTGCCATTGCTGGTGTGTGTCCTTGGGCTAATCACTCCATCTTTCTGTCCACACTTTGATCATCTAGAAAAATGGGACGTTTTAAACAGATGATTCCTGGGGTTATCCATGATACGATGAATCATAATTTGATATTTTTTTTTGTAAGCTTCTCTTCTTGTACATCAGGTTGTTTTTAGAAGTAAAATGCTAAAATTTTATGGTCCTACAAACCTAATATATGAGCAACCTGTACTTCAAAGTAGGCAAAAGAGTTGAAGCATCTACCCTGGAGCCTGACGAAAGGCAATCTATAAAATCACCTTTGAGATTTGAGGTTGGGACTGGTTTCAAAACCGTGGCATCTGGCCATAAGTCAATTCAGCCCACGGTGGGTACTGAGAATATCACTGGTGCCAAGCCTGCTATATAAGGCATGCAAGCTATTTGTTGTGATTCGTAAGTCACGACTGATCCTCCATGAAGTTGACAGTACTATGGCCATGATTAGTGCTATCAACAATGAAGTTGAATTTTCACCCAAATAACTGAATTTTGGTTCTTGGAATAGTAAGAGCAACGGTGACCACTTATAGAGCACTTAACTATGTGCTAGGCATTAAAACTAGGGTTTTCTTGCTAGGTATGGTGGGATACTCCTGTCGTTTCAGCTACTTGGGAGTCTGAGGTGGGACAGTCACTTGAACCCAGGAGTTCAAGGCTGCAGTGAGCCATGATCACACCACCGCATTCCAGCCTGGGTGGCAGAAAGAGCCCCTTTCTAAAAATAAAAAACCTAGGCTTTTCTACAAGTTTTGTCATTTAACCCTTACAACCCTAGGACGTAGGGACTTTATTATCCTTTCCCACCTGCTAGTAAGTAGAGAGCCAAGACTCTCATTTAAATTCAGGCCTGTCTAATGTGAAAAGCTCAGGCTTATCCACTCTAACCTCTGCCTTCATCTTACTTTAGAAAGCACTGAGTTATGATGACCTCTTAATTGTTCTACTTACTGAGACTTCCCAAACTCCTCTCTGTCTTGCATACCACTGACAGTCATCTTCCTAAAATACCATTTAATCATGTTAATTCTCTGTTCCAGAGACTTCTAAATGTGCCTGCTGGACTTAAGGTAATAAATTCCTTAGCTGAGACGGGGGTGGTGCTTCTGGTAATGGTGCAATAGGTAATTCAGACCTGACTCTCAGGCTGACTAGCTAAGAAACATGGACAAAATATATTTTTAAAATCCATTTACATGCATCAGAGAGCTAACAAGGTAGTTAAAAATTAGGGGGGCAAAATCTGGGAGAAAAAGAACCCCAGGACGGTGAACCTGACATTCAGGGCTGCTGTAATCCTAATGCGGGGACAGCTGCTCATTTCTGAAGAGGAGGCTGCGGGGCTTTGAAACTGAGCAGAGCGTCTGACACACTCAGGTGACTAAGGAGACAAAAATCGAAGACAGGACCCAGCTAGGAAAAGGGGTTCCTGGAAACACCCCCACAAGCTTTGTAAGTAATACAACTAAGTAGAAATAAACTAATATCAAAGGCTGAAACCCAGTTTTGAATCATCTCAATCCCTGATCAAATGAAAATGACCTGGAACTACCAAAAGCAAATATAAATCAAATCTTGAGGAACATAACATTATCCGAGGATTCATATTATCTCTGGAGCTTTTCTTTTTCTTTTTTTTTCTTTTTCTTTTTTTTTTTTTTGAGACCGAGTCTCACTCTGTCGCCAGGCTGGAGTACAGTGGCTCGATCTCAGCTCACTGAAACCTCTGCCTCCCGGGTTCAAGCTATTCTCCTGCCTCAGCCTCCAGAGTAGCTGGGACTACAGGTGCCCACCACCATATCCAGCTAATTTTTGTATTTTTAGTAGAGACAGGGTTTCATCATGTCGGCCAGGATGATCTCAATCTCTTGACCTCGTGATCTGCCCACTTTGGCCTCCCAAAGTGCTGGGATTACAGGCTTGAGCCACCGTGCCCGGCCATGGAACGCCTTTTCTTGGTACCCAGTCACCCAGTGGATCAGCAAAAATTCATTAAACACACATTGTCACAAGGAACTGTGCTGAGTGCTGTGGGGGATTCAAAGATGGGTGAGATATGATCACTACCCTCAAGGAACAAATAAGTTAACTAAGGATATGAGAGATAAATCACATAAAGCTAACTAATAATCCTATAATTATAATAATCAAAGACTATGCAATAAAGATCAGAAGGTAGTGTATTATTAATTGCCAGCTAAGTTAGCTAGTTCATAAGGAATACATAAATCATTGTTAAATGGGCTTGTAAGAGAAAGCTTTATGGTAAGGGAAAGCTTTATGGCAAAGGAAGACCTTAATGGATGGGGAGGTGCTGTCTAGGCAGGGAGAAGGTGGCAGGCAAGCCAGGGGAGGTAAAAGGTTGGTATCGGCGGCCAAAGCAGGACTGAAGATGTGTTTGCTGATGTGAGCAGAGCAACTGTCTTATGAACCAACATGTGTGTCTTCTATATAAGAGTCACTGGTGTGTGAGAAGCAAGCGCTGGGTATTTCACATCAATCATTTTTAACTCTCATAACAGCTCTAACCAGTTAAATACTAGTATCCCCATTTTATTTTTTCATTTTATTTTTGAGACAGGGTCTCACTCTGTCACCCACACGAGAGTGTAGTGGTGCAATCCTGGCTTGCTGCAGTCTTGACTTCCTGGGCTCAAGAAATCCTCTCACCTCAGTCTCTCAAGTACCCAGGACTACAGGTGCATGCACCATGCCCAGCTAATTTTTTGTTTTTGTTTTTGTGTTTTGAGACGGAGTCTCGCTCTGTC